TGTAAATTTGACTTTCAAATAAATAAATCTTTTTAAAAAAACACCTAATTATGTACTTTGAAAGTTGATTGTTGATTCAAAATCTTTTTTTTTTTTGAAGTTACAACACACAAACAATTTTAACTGTTAACTAATCAAGAATTTGTCTTTGGCTCCAAACTGACATTTTCCCAAAAAATTCACAAGGTGCTCCCAAATGGATGAAAGTGCCATACCAGGACCTCTGGTTTATACTTCACAAGGAAAGGGCGATAACAGCAGAAGCTTTGAGAGAGAACAAACAGCTAGCAAGGTCTACTGCAGAAACAAGACGCAGGCAGGAGCTTTCTGATCAGCAACATAGAACACCGGGGTAACGGACACATGCTGCAAAGTTCTGAGAAAAGAACTTGACACCATTCTAGATGCAGCCAAAGCATCAATTATGTACCCACTTTCTTTTTATTGTTTTCAAGATTTATTTATTTTTATTGGAAAGGCAGATATATAGAGAGGAGAGACAGAGAGGAAGATCTTCCGTCCACTGATTCACTCCCCAAGCAGCCACACGGCTGAAGCTGAGCCAATCCGAAGCCAGGAGCCTTTTCCGGGTCTCCAGGGTCCCAAGGCTTTGGGCTGTCCTCATCTGCTTTCCCAGGCCACAAGCAGGGAGCTGGATGCGAAGCAGGGCTGCCAGGATTAGAACCGGTGCCCACATGGAATCCCAGCGCATTCAAAGCGAGAACTTTAGCTGCTACACTATCACGCAGGACCCTATGTACCCATTTTCAAGATATGTAGGACTAGAAAGTTTATTTCCCACACTTTCTTAGGAAGTTACATGAACTCAAGTTACAACAAAACGAGAGAGTAAATCTTGTTTAAGTGGAACAGAAGGGCAGATTTGAGGGGAGAACAGACAGACAGGAATCTTCCCACCAAATGAACCCAATAGTAGGGGCTGGGTCAGGCCATGTCCAGGACCCGGACACCATCTGGGTCCCCCTGTGGGATGCAGGGGCTGAAGCACTCGGCCATCCGCTACTGCCTTTCTGGGTACATTAGCAAGGAGATCAAGGGGAAGTGGAGCAGCAAGGCCTGGAACCAGCACTCATAATGCAAGAAACAATGGAACAAACTCAGAAATGCAAGCAGGCAAAGCTACTCCCTAACGGGCTGTCTCAGATCCAGGACAGCCATCGGTTTGGTCTGCAGACACCAAGACTGGGAACTCAGCTCAGCAGGAAAAGAGTGATGATGCGAGATAAAGAAAGAGGATCAGAAACTCAAGAAAAACAGTCATTCCAGAAAGGAAATGTTATCACTCATCACACAATGCCAGAGGTGGGGAACTTTTTCTCTGCCATTTGGATACTCATACTATTACTCACCAGCCATATAAAGGCATCAATCTAAAACTGAGCCCACTCTAGATTTACTCAAGTTCAGGTCTTGGTCGCAGATGCCTTAGCAGAGCCACCCCAAAGGATTTCTCAGGACTTCTATGACCTGTGGGCTAGATGTCCTCACCCACATTGGTCGACAATGCTTACTTAATTGTTTTTTTTTTAAGATTTATTTATTTTTTATTGGAAAGTCAGATATACACAGAGGAGCAGAGACAGAGAAAGATCTTCCATCTGATGATTCACTCCCCGAGTAGACACAACGGCTGGAGCTGAGCTTTTCCAAAACCAGAGCTTCTTCCTGGTCTTCCACATGGGTGCAGGGGCCCAAAGCCTTGGGCTGTCCTCAACTGCTTTCCCAGGCCACAAGTGGGGAAGCAGGGAGGCCAGGATTACATCAGCACCCATAAGGGATCCAGGTGTACTCTAAGTGAGAACTTTAGCCACTAGGCTACCGTGCCAGGCACAACTTTTTTTTTTTTTAATTTATGTATTTTTATTGGAAAGATAGATTTATAGAAAGAAGGGGAGACAAACTATTTCCCATCTGCTGGCTCACTCTCCAGAAGACTGCAATGGCCAGACCTGAGCTAATCCTAAACCAGGAGCCAGGAGCTTCTTCCAGGTCACCCACACAGGCGCAGGGTCCCAAAGCTTTGGGCCATCTTCTACTGCTTTCCCAGGCCATAAGCAGGCAGTCTGATTAGGAATCGAGCAGCTGGGACACGCACTGGTGCCCATATGGGCTGCTAGCACTTGCAGGTGAACATTAGCCAACTGAGCCATGATGCTTACCCCAAAAAATATTTACTTGAAGTAGACAACCCACACAGGTTTCTGGCTGAGCTCGTTACAGACAGCTGTGGCCTGAGAGTCACTTCTTCAGGGTGAAGGACTGTTTCCTGTCCTGGAGACACTGGACACTCTGAGGGCTACAATGCTCTTCCCCTAAACCCTGTGGTCATCAGTGCTCCCCTAGGTGTGTGTAACCCCAGGAGAAGTCCTGGCCGGGCACTGCTGACTTCCTGGTTATGCTGGCACTGAAGGGGTGGGGGCGGCAGTGATGAGGCCAGGGGCAGAGCCGTAAGGATTTGTTGTCACAGACAGGTGCAGAGTCAGCCAATGCAGCCCATTCCTTAAAAATGAATTTGGTCTGGTGGGCCACGGGTTGCACTTTCAGTGGTGGCACACATCAGAGGCTGGGCAGGAGGCAGCTGGACAGCCAGCAGGCATAAAGTGGGCAGGAAATGAAGGCTACTCCTCCGAAACAACAGCCATCGCAATCACACGGGCAGGAAGCACGTGCTTTTTTTAAAGGCTTATTTTTACATGAACGACAGAAATACTTCTATAATTATTATAATCTAAACACGAGGTACTGATTGCCACTTTTAGAAAACACGTGGAGATAAAGCAGAGAAGACTCAGAGTTACAGAACAGAAACTGAGGTTGTAATTTACTGCTAGACCATTTACATCTTAGGTTGTATGTAAGTGCTTGTAGGACTTTTCCCTAATACTCATAACTCACAAGGCAGGTATCTATTTTACAGACATAGAAACTGAGGCCTGGAGAGCTGAGCTGACTTGCCCAAGGCCATGTGGCCACTAAGTGGCAAAACTGCATTCAAATGCAGCCAGTGTAACTGTAGAGGCTGTTCTTGACCATTACATGGCCGAGCAGGTTGATAGCATCAACCCTGACATACAAAAGCAGAGGTGCTGGCTCCTTCCCCAGTGCTCGGACGCAGCCTATCACAAGTCATGTCACAAGTCGATCCTGAGGGTGGCTTGCATTTGTGCACACGTAAGTGACTGCCCTGCTTTCCCTCACTTCAGTGACCAGAGAAACAATCTGGGACCAAGCATGGTAGCACAGTGTGCTAAACTGCCGCCGACAATGCCAACACCCCACATCAGAGCCCAGGTTCTGGTCACTCCTGCTTTGCTTCTGATCCAGCTCCCTGCCTGTGAACCTTAGCAAGCACAGAAGATGGCCCAGGTCCTGCAGTCCTGCACACCCACGGGGGAGACCTGGACGGAGCACCAGCCTCCTGAGTCTGGCCTGAGAACCAGCAGTTGGAAGATGTCTAGCACTCTGCCCTCCAAATACACATCAATCCTCAAACAAAACAAAACCCAGGCAAAATATCACAGCCACCAGCACCTGTGAAGTAGCCCGGATTCCCCATCCGGCCACCGCACTGCGCTGACCTCTGTGCCAGCAGATACGCCAGATCAAACTTCCCACATCCAGAACAAGATGACTGGAGAAGTATTATCTCTAAAAATAACTACTGTTAACTTCTTCTGAAAAAAACGATTAGCTTTTATTCCAAAGATTTCCAGATTTTCTGGAAATCAAACCGCAGTTGAGGGGGCTGGCAAAGGAGTGTATAGATGAAAGAGGGCAGCCATAGTTTGTGCCTGTTTTAACTGCTGCTGCTGATCCAAGACACTCTTCTCTGTTTACACTGGCGAACATCCACCGTAAAAAGGTTAAAAGACCCAACACACTTCCCTAGCCACATGTCTTGTATTAAAACGCAAAGGACATGTTATCAGAATATGAGCAATTACAGTTTCAACTCTTAAAGAGCACTAAAATGTCAGAAACAAGAACAGAATCATCAGTGGAAACCATCACCACATTAGTACATACTTGTGTATACAAATTAGTCTCACAGAGGAATTACAAGAGTCTGGCTGCCTCAGCCAAGCACAGAATGTTCACATGTGTGCCTGCTGAATTCATTAGCCCACAGCCAAAGACCAGAGGGGCCAATAAAGACAGACACACAATGGGCAAAAGACGACTGCTCGTTTAACAGGGTGGGAAAAGGGAACAGCTATGTAAGACATGAGGTTTATCATTAATTATCACAATTTTATGGGGAATTGTAACGAGTATATTCAGTCAAAAGGCCCGTGAGCTTTGGAGTCGAACACAGACCAAGTTCCACAGCACCTGCTGGCCCCAGGGACCTTGCCCAATCCCTTGAACTTACTTTCTCCCAGGAGTTTTGTGCTGGGCTTGCTTTGAGGACCAGAAGGGAGATTTCTCTAGTTTCTCAGAGGCACACTGTCCACTGCTAGCCAGCAATGCGTCTGCAATCCTGTGACACTGAGGCAGAGCCACCCAGCTACATGGCTCCCAAATTCTGAACCCTCACACACTGTGTGAAATAAGAAGTGCTAACTGCATAAATAAGGTGCTGTGTTTTTGGATAATTGTTACACAGAAATAGATAACATGTGAAATGCAGGATGCAATCTATTACTGCATCACCTTGAGCCTCATTGCTACATAAACTAGATTGATCACACAAGGAAACCATTTAATTCAACTGAACAGTGTGATCATATCCTTGTAGTAGCAAGGATATTAAATGGACTATGACAATAACTGGACTTCTTGAAACTCACCCTACTTACATGCAAGAGAACTGTGGGTGTCAAAATCCACCAGTGTGCCACACAGGCTGCCCGAGGCCCTGACCTGTAACTGGGCCTTAGCGCAAACCCTATATACATATATTCACGTTCTGCATATGTAAACACGCGCACTTGACACTGCTTGGCGACATGTGTGACCGTGAATGCTCATCGCCGTACCTGGATGAGGCACTTGCTCACATCACTAGCACAGAGTGCTTTGTTACAGCTCAGGGACACCGGGAGCCACGTCAGGAGCGTCAGGACGGCAAGGGTGAGCAGGACCACACAGGGCGCCTTCATGATGCCTCACGGACAAGCAGCAACTCGCCAAGGAGCTAAACAAGAAGAAAAGCACTTTAATTCAAAGGCACGAGCTAGAGGAAATAGAAAACGAACACCTAAACACAGACCAGAACTCACGTTCATGTCAAAATTGATCAGCGGAAGCAGTGCCTTGCAGCCGTTCAAGGTCAGGACCCCATAAAAACTACTGATTCTGCATCACCATGTCACAAGAGTTCACAGCTCTTACAATTTGAAAATGGAAACCATCCTAGTGATTATTCATAACTATCTCATTCTGTCTCTAACCATAATTAGCATGAAGAAAGCCTGTCTGAGACAACAGTTCGCCAAGATTCCTTAAATAATTGAACCAGGAACAAAAGGGACAGTAAATTATTAATCGCAGTAAGGACTCTGAGTAATTTATTAAAATGTAAGGAGATTGTCACATTCTATTGGGACCACAGACTCAGAAGATAATGCAGGGAAAAATGGAAAAGGCAGCGAAGGCCAGCACAATTCTGACGAGGCTTAAACAGGCAACAGGGTTGATAAACTTAAAAAAAAAAAAAAAGATAAAATGCCTTGGTGTTAAAACGCCCCCAAAACGTAATCAAACAAAATAAATCATTAGTTATGTAACAGCTAAAAGGGTGGCTTGTGGGCGCTCCATGAGTATTCCCAGCTCTTTCTAAGGTCCCACGAGGCACCCAAAGGCAAGACAAGGAGAAGGTGAAGAATAAAGGGTTTGGAAGAGCTTGAGTCGGTCGACCGGGACCCAGGCCCTCAAGCACTCGCCTCCACACCGCTAGCACGTCCAGCTCCTCGCTGAACCCCGCACACAGCGGGCTGATCCCCGGGGCCGCCGGCACACACGCTCGAGGTCCAGAGCTGTGCCCATCCCGCAGCCGGGCAGGCGGCGACCCCAGGCCGTCCTCGGGAAGCGCCGGGCAAACCCACCGGGCTCCGCAGCAGCCGAGCGCGAACCAGGAAACGGCTCTGGAAAGCGCCGCTCGCGTCTCCCGAGGCCGCCCCGACAACAACGCGTCCGCGCTGTCTGTCCCGCACGCAGCCTCCGCGGGGCGACGGCCCTGACAGCGCCCGCGGCCCCCGGGAATCGTGCTCCCCGGCCGGGGGCCCGCCGAGCCAGAGCTCCGGGACCCCTCGGCCCTGCCGCAGGGTGAGGGCCGGGCCCGGGGCCTCCCCGCGCCGGCCTGCACCGAGGGCGGCGCGGGATGCCGCCGGAGCGCCGAGCAGCCGGGGCCCAGGCCGCGGCCCGAGGTCGCCCCGACCCTCCACACACACACACACCCCGCGGCCCGCTCCCGCTCACCGTGCCCCGAGCCCGGGCTGCGCCGCAGCGGCTCTAGGAGCGGAGCCCGGCCGCGCCGCCCGCCGTGCCCTCCGCGCAGCGCCCGCGAGCCTCGGCCACCTTGGAGAGACCGGCCGGCCCGCAGTCCTCCCCGGCGCCCGCTGCTCTCCGGCCTCGCTTCTCCCACAGCTGCCAGCTCCCGCCAGGAGGCGTCTCTTCCCCCGGCTGCGCACGCGCCCCGCCCCAGGCCCCGCCCACAGAGGCCCGCCCCTCCGCGGCCCCGCCCCCGGACACGCACACACGTGCACACACGCCCGACACACACGAGCACGCGCTCGCTCACGCCCGAGGCCACGCCCCCGAGGAGCACCCATCCGGGCACCTCGCAGCCCGGTGAGCAGGCTTCCCGGCCGCGCTCGCTCCGGCGTGTAGGATCGCTGGCTTCCCTTCGCCCGCCCGGGCCCCTCGGCTGCAGGGCGCCACTAGGAGCTGGAGCCGCGGGCCCGAGTGTGTGCGGCGCCTCCCAGCGAGCCCCGGGCTCCTCACGGCAGCGCCCGGTGGGCAGGCGGGGCAGCGGCCAGCCCGGAGCGGGGCGGACCCCGGGCCCCCTGCTTCCCGTCAGCGCGGGTTTCTGGGCTCCACCTCAGCCGCCCCTGCGCCTGGAGAGCGCCCGCGCTGGGGACCGGCCCAGCAAGAGCTAGGAAGATGCAGAAAACCGACAATTGCACTGTTTTTTTTCTCACAACCTGGAAATCTGCTTTTTAGACTTTTTCCATTTATTCAAGAAGCAGAGGCAGGGAGAGAGCCTGCTCTCATTTGATGGAGCCTTATGGTGAAGCAGGGAACGCAGTGGGAGTCAGGGACCCAAAGGACTTGAGTCATCACAGCTTGTCTTCCAAGGTGTGCATTTTCTGGAAGCTGGGGTCCCAGGCAAGATACTCCCAGTGTGGGTCTGCAGGCAGCTTAACAGCAAGGGTAAACACGTGCCCTGGATGTTACTTTTTATTTTATTGTAAGTTGTACCACCTTATCACTTGAAATATGAAGACAGTGATCCATCTTCCACCTACTGGTTCATTATCCCAATGCCTGCAACAGCAGGGCAGGGCAGGGCAGGCTGGCAGCCAGGAGCCGGGAACTCCATCTGGCCTCCCATGGACAGCAGGAACTCAGCCCCTTGAGCCATCACTGCTGTGTATGCACCCTGCTGCATGCCTCCGGTCACCCCTGCCAATCCAACCCAGAGGAGAAGCAAGGAGAAGCCGAGGCATGGCTTTTCAGTATCCCTGCAAAGCAAGGTACTCCTAATTGGTCCGGATTTTCCTCTTCTGAGCTCCATACTCATGGTTCAGTCAAGGACAGCTGCAGCTCTAGCCTGCATTGGGGCAGAGCAAAGCGCCCAGCCTCTGGCCCCACAGCCCAGTGGAGGTGAGGTGGTTGCTTGATCAGCCAATGTGACAGGCAGGGATTCTTACCTCTCTCTCTCTGTGTAGTGGGGTGATGGTGATAGTTTACAGATATAGAATAAGGTAAGTAGCCATTCCTCCCTCACTTCTCATAGTCACCTCCTGGGCCAGGAAAGATCTGCTGGGGCTGGAAGTGTTCTTCCTTCACTTTCTGCTGCCTCCTGCCTTGCTGTGTTGGGAAATGATTGCACCTTGGGATCAAAGCAATGAGGAAAGAAGATGAATTAATACCAAAGACCCTTCAGCTCTTCCTGTTAGAACCAAGAAATATAGAAACACATAACAGTGGTTTTAGTTTGATTTCTTTTGAATTTCTTTTTTTCCCCAATTTCAATTACTCATCTTTATTGATAAAATAGGCTCCTATGCGGTATGTTCTCTTAAGAGAAAAATTTAAGGTTCTGTTCTGAAAAAAGTATGGATGGGAAACTGTCATTAAAAATAAACTAAATGTCTTATTACATTAAAATCATAAAGGAATCCAAGCAAGAATACCAAGAATAAATTAACTTACTTGTTCACAAAAATAATGATTTATCAAGTAACATTTGTTAACAGAGTTGCCTCAGACAACTGTGTGGCTTATTTTCTTCAGTTTTTACCTGGGATAAAAACTATTTTAATGAGTGTGCCATTAAAGTAAGGACACATACCCAAAACCAATAGAAACGTTTTTAAAAAAAGCATCATTTGCTTATAAAACATCAATTAAGGCCTCTGGATGATAAAAGAAAACCATTTAATGTTTACTCAGATCACTAGCCCTATTCTAATCAAACAGCCCAACCATCCAACCTTAAGACAGAAAAAGTCTGAAGCAAAAAGTTGCTTTGCATTTTACTAGTAAATGAAGTTGTATATGAAAGTTATCATGGGAGTAATAGTTGTTCAGTATCTTCTATGCCCAAAAGTAGGATTTATATTTGTGCTACTTTTAATACTTATACAAATGAATATTTGGTATTTCTTTTATTCTGTAATCATCACAGAGCAAGAAAAAGTTGGGTCTCAGCTGATGTTGAAATTGATTTGTGTATCTGGTAGTTTTAAAATATTTATGGGGCCCAGCGCAGTGGCCTAGTGGCTAAAGTCCTCTCCTTGAACACGCCGAGATCCCATATGGCTGCTGGTTCTAAACCCAGCAGCCCCACTTCCCATCTAGTTCCCGGCTTGTGGCCTGGAAAGCAGTTGAGGACAATCCAAAGCCTTGGGACCCTGCACCTGCATGGGAGACCTGGAAGAAGTTACTGGCTCCTGACTTCAGATCAGCGCAGCCCTGGCTGTTGCGGTCATTTGGGGAGTGAATCATCGGACAGCACATCTTCCTCTCTGTCTCTCCTCCTCTCTGTATATCTGACTTTGCAATAAAAATAAATTTTTGAAAATTTATATACTTTGTACTTGCTACTTTACCAAAAAAAAGAAAAAACAGAAAAACATTTCTGAATCCATATTTAGTCCCTTTTCAACTGAAATGTTTTAAGAAAACTCTTACTGGTCCAAAGATCAGGGGGAACTTAAAAATTAATCCAGAATTTTGATTTTCTGTATCTCCAGAGTAATTACTTTTGAAGAAAGGGTGCTATGATCCAGAGGAAGTTTCAATTAAGTGAAATGACTGTATTGTCAGCTCCTCATACAACTCGATTGGCTAAGTGGATTATATAATCTCCTCTGAGATCAGCCAGAGAAAAATCTCATCTTCATTGCGGACTTAGAACCGAAACTTATTCTTTGCAAGGAGTAGATTAACCTACTAAATGTTCATTATATGATCTTCTTTCTTAGAAAGTAGTATTTCTTCTCTTTCATTCCTGAAATGCTATTTCATATACTTAGGTAAATCAGGGACAATAGTTAGGTGAATATCAGGACAAATTAAATCACCTCTTAAGGTGCATGTAAAGCATTCCTACATCCTTTAAAATTGGATTTAAAAAAAAAAAATAAAGTCAATGGGGAAACAGACAATAGTTAAAGCTGAAGTCTCATAGTTGATAAGCTGTTTAGCTTTTGACACCAAACAGGAAGGTAAACTTCAGGAAGAAGATCTTACAGATCTTTAGAACTACGGCAGAAGTATGTCTGCTTTCCATGGGGACAATTCTGTGGACTCCAACTCCCAGGGAGTATTCAGGTTTATCGAAGTGCATCCAGAAAGCAATGTGGAAAGGTGCTGACGCGCTCAGCAGTCATGGAACCTGCCCCCTTCAGGTCACAGGCTCAGTTCTTACTCCTCAGTTGGGTTCTTGATGAAGTCGTGACCATAAATGCAGTCTTGGTTGCTCTCTCTCAGCCTATGTACTGAGCATGTTGTAGACAAACAAAGGGATCTGCTCAGTGGTTCACGCCTGCATAGTTAGGTCCTGGCAATCCGGGGGCACTTCAGCTCTTCCTCAGACTCAGGTCACTGTTGGACACCAATGCTGACAGCGATGTAGTTTCTGATGGGTCATCTTTCCTCAGTTTCAAAAATGATTCCGAGTTACTTAAAGGATCTCTCTTAGGCTTTTGTTTGCTTGTTCAAGTTGAAGTATCCGTTCCTGTTCTTTGCAGCTCTGTTGCTCATCAGTCTCAATAGCTTTCCTCATCACCACGGCCTCTTCAGTTATCTGGTCCACCTGTGCTTGCATCTCATTCTGATTTGCTTCCCAGCGCCTCCTCTCCAGTCCACGCTGAGGATCTTCAAGGGTGTGTGGAGATGCATCAAGGAAGACTCCTTTGTGGCAAGTCAGTCTTGGAGTGCTGTTCCTTTAACTACCATATTATTCCTGGATCATCTTTTTGGCTAGCCATTAGCAACCTAAACATTTGTTCTCGATTCTTGTTCATGATAAGATCCAAGGCAGACTGATGTTCTTCCAGAAATGTACACAATTCTTTGTTCTCTTGTTGCAGTTCTCTGATTTGTCTGTATTCCTGCTGGATTCCTATCACTAATGTGGAGCGGGCGGATGTCTTGCGATTTCACTCAGTTCTTGAATTTCTTCCTGATACTGCTTCATTGAGGGCCGTGGTTTGCTCAGTGAGTCACTCTGCTGCATCATCGTGATCTCTCAACCTTTCAACAAGGGCTTTAGCATCAGCAAGAGCCTTCTCGATTGTGCAACTCATGTCTACAGGGATAGTAGGCTCTCAATTTCTCTTGGAGACTGGGATTTAAAGCCACCACCAACCCTGGACCTACACCCTTCAGGGTCAAAGACCCTGCGCCTCTGGTCAGTTTCTTGACCCAGTGAGCATGGAACCAGGCAGGGCTTCTCAGGGAGACGCTGCATGACAGCCAGGTAGGCTCTGCCCCATCACTGGCCTGAGACAAGCCTCCTCAGACCACCTCAGATCAGCAATCCCCAGCCTCCCTGATTTCTTTTGAATTTCAAAGCCCCATTGTAATTACCTCTGGAAGAAGATTGGTCAGGGGGCTGGAAGTGGCAGGTTCCCAGCTAACTCCAGGGAAGGAAACAGGCAGGCCCTGACCTCTGAAGAGAAAATGCTCTTTCAAAAAATGATTTTCGCACTGGGTTATCCAGGGCTATTGGGATGTTTGTACATGTTCTCCAAACTGCTAAGGTTTTACTAAATACATGGCATGGCTCACCTGCCCAAGCAGGTCCAAA